CCCCCCCCCCCCCGCTTTTTTCTTTTCCTTCTCAGAGATACTTGTTGAAGCACAGAGTCTCCTTTTTCCCCGGTTCCATGGCCACTTCACTGTTGGCTTTTTCGTTATGTTCAAAACGTTGAAAGGAAATCCATGCTTGGCGTTTTACCGTGCATTAGAGGGTAGCTGAAACATCCCTATTTCTCCCCCTGGTGTCCCGTTTCTCCTCAGAGATGCCCGCTGGTAACAGTTGGGTGATGGCGAGGGGTAGACGCGTCTACGTGCGTTTCGTCCACTGAAAGCAGGAACACGTGCGGTGTTGGGTGTGAGGTTGCAGGAACACCACCCTGCCTCACTCCCGTCTTGCTCTCCCCACCTGCTTGTATCCCAGGTGGTGGTCCTCATCCACTCGTGCAGATGATTTCAGCTCCTGGGCAGGGGGACGGACGCATCGTTTGAACTGTTTCTCTGTGGATATTCGGGTTTTTACCCCTCTTTTCCTGTTCTATGCTGTGCCTCTCGGCTGACTCTGTATGTGTGTGCTCATTAGCGCAGGTGTTGATGGGGAATTCACCCGGAAGTTGGGTTTGTGGGTCAAGGGTACTCACATGTTAAACTGGCAGTCCCAGATCCTGGACTAGTTACTACTTTCATGAAATGTTAAAGACCATATAATTTCTGTGTTCAGCTTTTCCAGGCTGTTGCAAGAAGAAAAGGGATCCAATTCATGTTTTGAAGCCACTTAACCTTTTTTTTCCCTTGCTCCTAAAATTGATGGCATTTATTTAGTTTAGATAAAGACTTCCAACACAGAACACTGTTAGGAATTAATCCTTAGGAACTATGTAAAAGAGATGTGATGTAAGGCAAGTATTATATATAAAGTATATATGTGTATTAAGTATGTGTATATATATATATATATATATATAAAGATGAAATAGATCAACAGTTTTTATTTTCCTACAGAATTTACTGCAAGTTACCACGCTATGAAAACAAAAGCCACCCACTCTTAATATGTCAAATTTGTTTAGTCATTTAAAGAAAAATATATGACTCCCATCACACAGATAATTCTAAATCTACTTTGAAAATCAAATCATCAAGAAATATCTATCTGGAGAGACTACAGACCTACTGTCACACTGTAACAAAGATAAGGCTGCTATCTTCACAGAATATATGGATAATTAGTAATCAACCATTAACATAGTGAATGTTCTAATATTTGGGGAAATACTGGGAAACTATTTTTTAAAAAACAAAGTTCTGTGGACATTGTTTACCTTGCCGATGAGATTAGTTTGGAAAAGGGGTCTTGTTTAGTCTAGAAAACCTTCAGAGTCCAATATAGTTCTGGGCTAAACAGATAACTGAAGATCCTTTACAAGGATAGGCAGGCTCGGAAATCACGCAGTCTTATTTTGAATCAGCTTGCTTTAGTCCAAGGTAGGGAATTAATGATCAAGTACCAGGAATTTCTGTAATGTACCCAATGCCAAATGGCTACTAACATTCTGTTTCCTACTATGATGACTCCTTGATTAGAGGTCGGTGGGAGGCATGAAACATATTGTGAACTGTAAAGTAAATTGTACTCCAATGCCCAGATCTCTAAAGATAAATCTTGTTTTTCAATATAAGAAACTCACTAAATCAAATGAATGCTACTTGGAGCAAAAGTAGTATAAGTAAAACTGGGGCAGGAAACTTCTAATCGCACAGGAAATACATGAAAGACTGAATCATTCTAAGAGAAGAATCATCTTCCCAGTAGCCCCACTGCCGTGGATGATATTTTCATGAGCCTGGGCCACCTTCTCCAATGAATACTGAGAACCTATTACAGGTTTCAGCCGGCTGTGCCCAGAACCTTTAGACCATAAGCTCTGGCAGTCTGGCATACGGCCAATCCAACTCCTCCACTAGCCCCATGAACCCGAAGACTTCCTCCAGCTTTCACACGGGCGCTGTGGAGCAGAGCTCGATAAGCAGTAAAATATGGGATACCGATGGCAGCTCCTTGTTTAAAGTCCAGTTTTTCTGGTGGTGGGTACACAGTGTGGTCTGCCGCAAGAGCATACTCAGCATAGCCCCCAGAGATGGTGCTGGGAGTGAAAACTCTGTCACCTTTCTTGAAAGTAGATACATTATGTCCAGCAGCTTCTGTTACCCCAGCCACGTCTGAACTAGGAGTATAGGGTAAGAGTGGTTTTATCCTGTGAGTAGCAGAACGAATCTATGTTTTCACTGGGTTTACACCACATGCATGGACCTTGATTACAACCTGATGGTCTTTTGGAGTTGGTACTGCCACATCCCGACTGGAGTTTCAGCACTTCTGGTCCACCAAATTCAACAACTCCAATTGCTCTCATCAATTTTTTTTTTTCTGTTTTTTTTTTTTTT